CACCAACTCATTTAATTGTAAGCTGGGCCAGGTTGGCTATAGCGTGTTCGTCATTCCAAAAAGTGTAATATTCCATATTCAAAATACCAGTTTTTAGTTAAACAACTTACCAAAGCCAAACTTATGTCCAAAATTAAAAGAGTACGGGTAGTTATCACATTTTAACTCAAATACGATTTTCGGGTTTTTAAATGTGTATGATTTGTTATTTAGATGTTAGTGTATAATACTTTTTGATTAAATAACAAGAAAAATAGTTAACATAAAACCAATGCTGGACGTAAACATAAATTAAAAGTTTAAGCTCTTCTGAATAAGATGATAACACTACTAATATTATAAGTGAGAAAGTATAGCCTACATGTATAAATGGATGGGTGGATGTTTCTGACAAGTAAACGCGAAAAATACTGATCGGATTTGGCTGAAATTTGTTGTAAAGATAGCTCAAATCCCCGATTATCATATAGACGCATTCTAATAAAAAAATCCTTTCGGGCTCCACCCCAGTGGATCTGAAGTTTACCATGTTAACCTTAATAAGTATTTATATTTAAAAGAATAAAATAATTGTGTCAGATGTTTCAACTACACTTTTTGTCTATAGCTCTATGATATTAAATAACATTAAAAAGTTATTAGGTTTACGAATAGGATGCAGCACTTTTAATTTTTATTGCATTTAGGCCTATGACAACATTAATTTGAACCAACTAGCAGCAAAAGGCTGCGAAAATGAGAACTTCACTTTTTTATTGTTTATGGGCAGTGGTAAAACATTATGGCTATGGTAGATGTGTAATACTATAGAATACTGAAAATTTAAAAAAGAAAAATTTTATCAAACTGTGTCCTCTCTTATTGCAAACGCAAAGCTTGAGTATAACTGCAATAATCATTTTATACTTAAATTTCAACCCCGTACGAAGGACGGGTACTCTGCTAGCTTATAATAATAGTAAGATAAGACAAGATCTATGGTAAATTGACAGTTTTACTTTTAAAATTTGTCTAATACAATATGTATACGAACTCTAATTAAAGCATTGAAATTAACAAGTCATTTTCATCAATGTTTTTATATTTATTCGACATGGTTTTGTATCAAAACCATTCATAGTTTAGGGTCTTGATACAGTCTAACTAAATATATAAACTAATTATTAGGTGAGTTAATAATTTAAGGACAATACCAATCCCTGGATGAATACAAGTTAACTCTGGTTCTTCAAAGACGTCGGAAGACAGTGATTTTAACTCGTGGTAAGATGTCATACGACAGTGATATCTCGTCGTAAGATGGTGTTTTGTCCAGGCAAGATCACTGACGTTATGTCCAGCTTCCGGTCCGGTCCAATGTCCGCCCCAGATCTCTCTTCTGCTCTCACTCGACTTCCGGTTGGGCTCCAGATACATCACCCGTCGCTTTGTCACCGTTTTGCTTCTTTATACACTTTTATTTTACGTTATTCTTCTTGCGAAGATAAAACACGAGATTTCCCTTTGACATTACAACAAAAGACTTTGTTCTGTAAAAATCTATTCATTTTTGGATATTTTTAAAAGCACTATGATTCACATTTTAAGTTTCCAGTTATTGTATCATAAAGTAAATGAACTGGTAGTTTTAGGTCCTGTTTATGAAATGGTCATATTTTAATAACTGTTAAGTACAACAGATTTATATGCAGGGTGGCCCGTAAGTTAGTACGAACAATGGGTACTTTCCTGTTAAAGGGAAAATTCATTATTATCGATCTGATTTCTTTCGATATATCGATATTCTTGTTTTCCTTTACGATCCATAAACACATTTATATTACAAACTAGTGGCTTGTAGGGACATAAGTCCCTAAAAAGCTCAAATGTAAAACAACTTTTTGCAATACCGGTATTTAAACAAACTCAGAATAACATTATCTATGTGTCAGAATAGGCATCCCTACACCATATCTTTTGTGTAAAAACCAGTTTGTTGTTCTTCTTTGTTTGCTTTTGTTGATGTCATTTTCAATAAATACTTTGAATCACTCCAGTGGTTTAACATGAAAAGGCAGCAAACATATCATTGTTTGTGAATAAATACTGGTTTACTAAGGTAGCTTTGGTCTTGTGGTTAATGAGGATAAATAAAAGCTTCCCTGTTTGGAATTTTAAAAATTCATTGGAGGTTCGCCTTCAGATGAATTGAAGACGCCTGCAATTTCATCTGCAGTAGGCTTATTATACCTACGACGATCCATATTTATCCTGTCTACAAACCTAAGTTCTAATTCACTGTCACCTTGTACAACCATTTCTTCCGAAGCTCTTTTGTAAATTTGTGCAAATGGATTTTCTAATAGAATTTCAGCTAGTTTTGACAATATTTCAGGTTTTAAGTCACTATTTTCTCGACGCCTTTGACGAATTTCTGTTGCTGTTGATGTGTCAACACGGTAATGTACAATTGGCCATACACGGGGTCTTCATCATGTTGAGGCAGCAAATCTGAGATTGAACGATAAATCTGTCCTTGAATTTTGAAACAGTATGGTCCTTTTCCTGGAATATCTTTCTTACTGGCTGAAAAATAAACAAAAGCCATCGCACTGTTGCATTGTCGAATGAATTTATACAGTTGTGGGCTCTCTTCAAACAAACTTTTAAATTCTACATTTTAGTTTTTGACTGAGGAAGGTTAATAAGTCCGTTATGGCAACATGTCATAAAATGATTATTCGTTAGTTCTTCTCTAAAATGAAGAGCACTACATTGAATGCACTCTTGGTCCAATAATCCTGCATCATGGATCTTTACATTTCTCTCGTCTACCATGGGTCTCCTAAAAAGGGGTTGTACATATCTTGATTAAGTTCGTCATTATCTACTCTTGCTCTCCTACGCGCACTGTCATTCCTATGAACAGTTCCCCGCCTTTGTGGTATTCCCCTGGCGTTCATATTAATTACAGTACTTATAATGAAAAGAATATATATCCAGCAGCCTACATACCAAAACATCTTGAATCCCTGGTGATTTTATAAAAGTATGATCAAATATGATTACTCTACGTTGTATATTTACTGCCCTAAAAAAAATTACTTAATGCAAATACACCATTTTAGAACCAATAACATTTATAGGTTATTTTAGTTGTATATATTTACACAACCTTAACCTTAAAATGTGTAGAAATATAAAGAAAACAACATCCTTTAAAATAAACTTGAACATATGATTTAAAAATACAAACAAAACAGAAGTTAGATTTAATTTCGACTCTTTGATTATTTATACAGAATATTTATTCTATGTCGTTTATTCCTTTAACACGACAATAACGTAAAAGCATGAAATAATGAAACTTGAGTATATGATTTAAATATAAACAAAGAATGCAGACGTTTTTCCGACTAATCTTCAATATTTCAGTTTTATTATAGTATACATTTCATAGTTGACTGGCTAAAAGTAAACCAAATGTGTGTATTGATCACTGTTTTCAAATCTGTGGCACAGCTGTTTTAATTTCAAAAGATGTAAACAAATTAAACCCCATGTTGTTTTAATGGGAAAAGTTTTATTCTGTTGGGAATTTATGGTAAAAAATAAGAAAAAATTCACGTCAAGACCTTTAAAATAAGACCCCTCCCATCCTTCTACGGCCATCCAGTCACTCACAATTTCTTTACAAAAATTTGACTTACGGAATTATATATATAGATTGACAACTCTTGTTTAGGCAAAATATATAAATAAGTAAAACTGTTTAAACTAACCTAACATAGCCAACCAAACTTGCTGTGTTTGCTGTATCATTTCAAAATTTCGTTTGATAACAGAAAAGGCATGTCAGTTATATGAAACGGAATTTGAAAATTTACTGCAAGTTTGGTTGGTTAGGTAAGGTTAGTTTAGAACATTTTCATTTCAATATAATATTTCTAAATTGTTTGTTGATACTGAACAATATTTACTTATCGTAGTTGTCAGCTGACATCTCGTTCATTATCGGATCAAAAATAGAATATCGATGTATCGGAAAGAAATCATCGATAATAATGAATGTTCCCTTTAACAGGAAAGTACCGAACAAGGTAAAAATAGATTTTATGGGTCACAATAAAACGAAAATCAAGAATAAATCTTTTCCCAAAAACCCTTGTTTGCAAGATATCCGCTAAAGTCTATAGCTTTCAACCTGTTAAAGATGTCTTCATGAAATTGTGTATACAATTTGAAGTAGTAGTAACTTGTAAAAAATCAATAGGGTTTTTAGCTGTGTATTTTTTTACAAGTTGTATAACTTAAATTACTTGATTGTCGATTTTATGAAAGAATGTTTAGAACAATTGCATTTAGCATTTTACATTCTATAAACAACAATAAGTTCAAAGAGATTTAATGAACAATAGCTAAAATATAACGATGTTCAGTTGCAAATTATGGCAACATTAGGGCCCCCTTAACTAGCTTAGCCTTAACCTTTGAAAAATATCATTGATTTACATTTTATTCTTATCCATAACACCATTCCTAAGCTGTTTGAACTTACATTACTCTTGTAATTTCACACAATTGTACTGTTTACCATGTAGCCATCTTGATCCTATAAAGTTTATTTTTTTACATATAAATAAACATATAGCTGACTACGGATAGAGGTTGGTTCCATGCTAAAGTTACAAAAAGGTTTAGCATAATAATTTTTGGCCCTGCTACTGACTAAGACTACTGTCCGTCCAAAAAGCCATATACTCGAGTTTGAATCGATGCTTCAATTATTATTGATCCGATCTTTACCGTTTGTGCATAAAGTTTTAGCATTTATAATTCTACGTTACATCGGCTAGGCATAGTTTCGAAACAACCAAATGCTACAGTTCTTGCTTCGTAATGAACAGTTCCCTTTTTATTTCCACGTGAGTCCAATAAACACCCAGATACTCCTGTATATCCTATATCTAATGCTGTACTACGAGAACTCTACAAAGAAACGACTTGCACTTTTGACTAACCATCAGTATTGACGGCGGACACGTAGGTCCAGTTGTGAGCTCGCACAATGTCCACCATGACCTGAGCCTGGTAGTAGTCGGAGGGTACGACTCTGAGGAAGTAGTTGAAGCGGCTCTTGTCGCTCAGGTCCTTGGAAGTGGTGGAGTAACCGACCTGGGGGATCTGGAAGAGTTGCAGCAAGTTCTGCACTTGGAGGGCGACGCTGCTGGAGCCTGGGCCGATCACCCCCACCAGCGGGGCCCGACGGGTCTTGGAGGGTCCGACCTGGACAGGAGTTGTGGTTATGCTTAAGAAACTACATAATCAGAAATGAAAAATGAAAAAGACGTTAGATTGATGTGGCCTATGTCTTGGAAAGGTAAATATTTTCTCTTTGCTGTAGATACTTCAACCTCCGAGAAATGGCAGGTTGAGGGTTGCTCTTCATGTAGGCTCTTAAACATAACTACCCTCAAAAGCTTTAAAATTATTTTGCGTTCAGTAACATTGGACATTTCCACCACTCGAGTACCCACATAACCGCACAGTACAATATTCACATACCAGCAATCAGTTAGTGCCGATGGATTCCAATCAAGAATCGAAAAAATATTAGGAACATATTAACAAAAAGTAGTACACAAAGACAAGCTATCTTGTTTGTTGTGTATCCACTTCCACTTACGTACAAATGTTTCTATACTAATAAAAAAACCAACTCACTTAGAAATGTGAGTTGCTTTTTCAATCACACCGTGGAAGATGGAAGATTTACAATTAAAATTGTTCTGTTCTATCAACATTTTTAAAGGTAGTAAAACAACACGAAATAAACTTAATAAAAACGCTATCCTGATCGTTATAGTGAACAAACACATACTGTAAGATTGTTTTCATCCGACCCGACTTTTGAGATAATTTATATTTACTTAACTAGCTGATTACCCGTGCTTCAGCAACGGGAAGATGTACTTTACCAAACACTTGTTAAGTATTTAAAATGTATATACAAAAAGCCACCAAATCTATACAAAAAAGTATCACCTACATTGTAATTACCTTAAATGAAAATGTATCAATAACATTATCCTATACTCTAATACAAGCAATGTTTGCTTGTATGTATGCTTGCTTGCTTGCTTGCTTGCTTGCATAAAAGATCTCGAAAACGGCTCCGACGATTTTCTTCAAATGTTGTAAATAGTTTATTTCTGGCCTAAAAACGAGTTTACTGCAGTTAGAACTGCCAACAAAAATCTAATTACGTAGAAAAATGAAACTGAAAATCACATTTTTTAACATTAGTCTTATGGGTTGCTAGGTAACCATGTTGGATGAATTAAATAACAAGGATAAAGTAAACAAAAGACTTAAAGTTGTAGCATGTGTTCATAATAAGCCAACTACCCACAGTATACTAGCAAATTCCAAATACAGTACAAAAGGAAAAACATCACTTGTTAATATTTAGCAAAGATTATACTGAAGATTACTCGATACATTGTAGTCAAGGGCAGCAGTGCGAAGTCTGGGATCTGTTTATGACGTTTAGATTAGATTGAGGTATCTGAAATCCTAAAATGCTATGGGAAGGGAAGGAAACAGGTCCGCGACATAGGAAGTGGTGAAGGAAGTAATAAAGGCAATCATAAAATGCTATGGGGATAGAGGGAAACAGGTCCGTGACGTAGGAAGTGATGAAGGAAGTAGTGAAGGCGAGCAGTCCGGAGTGTGGGGAATGTTTATGACGATAAGATTAGGGTATCTGCAATCCTAAAATGCTATGGGAAGGGAGGAAAACAGGTCTGCGACGTAGGAAGTGGTGAAGGAAGTAGTCAAGGCGAGTAGTCCGGAGTGTGGGAACTGTTTATGACGATTAGATTAAGGTGTCTGCAATCTTAAATTGATATGGAAAGGAAGGAAAACAGGTCCGCGACATAGGAAGTGGTGAAGGAAGTAGTCAAGGCGAGCTGTCCGGAGTGTGCAAACTGTTTATGACGATTAGATAAGGGTATGGGCAATCCTAAAATGCTATGGGAAGGGAGGGTAACAGGTCCGCGACGTAGGAAGTGGTGAAGGAAGTAGTCAAGGCGAGCTGTCCGGAGTGTGGGAACTGTTTATGACGATTAGATAAGGGTATGGGTAATCCTAAAATGCTATGGGAAGGGAGGGAAACAGGTCCGCGACGTAGGAAGTGGTGAAGGAAGTAGTCAAGGCGAGCTGTCCGGAGTGAGGGAACTGTTTATGGCGATTAGATTAAGGTATTTGCAATCCTAAAATGCTATGGAAAGGGAGGAAAACAGGTCCGCGACGTAGGAAGTAGTGGAGTAAGTAGTCAAGGCGAGCTGTCCGGAGTGAGGGAACTGTTTATGACGATTAGATTAAGATACTTGTAATCCTAAAATGCTATGGGAAGGGAAGGAAACAGGTCCGCAAAATAGGAATTGGTAAAGGAAGTAATAAAGGCAATCATAAAATGCTATGGGAATAGAGGGAAACAGGTCCGTGACGTAGGAAGTGATGAAGGAAGTAGTAAAGCGAGCAGTCCGGAGTGTGGGGACTGTTTACGACGATAAGATTAGGGTATCTGCAATCCTAAAATGCTATGGGAAGGGAGGAAAACAGGTCCGCGACGTAGGAAGTGGTGAAGGAAGTAGTCAAGGCGAGTAGTCCGGAGTGTGGGGACTGTTTATGATGATTAGATTAAAGTATTTGCAATCCTAAAATGCTATGGAATGGGAGGGAAACAGGTCCGCAACGTAGGAAGTGGTGAAGTAAGTAGGCAAGGTGAGTAGTCCGGAGTGTGGGAACTGTTTATGACAATTAGATTAAGGTATCTGCAATCTTTAAATGCAATGAGAATGGAGGGAAACAGGTCCATGACGTAGGAAATGGTGGTAAAGGCGAGCCGTGTGGAGTTTGGGAATGGATTTATGTATCTCCAATACTAAGGTGCTTTCAGAGTGAACTAATGATTTTCCCCGAGCAAAGCTCGGTTCCCAGGTACTTTTCATAACTTAGACACTTTGATAAATCGAAAGCAGAGCCAGGGTTGATGCAGCAACGGTTATAGATTATTTTACTTCCATAATCAATGACATAGTTTAAGAATAAAAATTATCTATGACAAATTTTTGGAATAAATAAACCTACCACATACAGTAAAAGTAAAATTATTAGTAAAATATTAGATTTTATTTGTTTGATCAGCTGTCTGAAATTGTGGAATAAGCACTTAGCAGTTCTGATTGTTTACGTTGACATGTCAACACAAAGGTAAACATTGTAAATCTTCTCATGGAAACCAATTTATATTTACTTTTGAAAACCTCACCTCAAAACTTTGGATATCCACGGGGCGAAGCCCGAGAGGAACTCAAGTAAGTGAATAAGCCTATTACGTTCCTAGATATGTGGACATTCTTTGTACTAAATTTTGGCTGTATCGATAGTATTTTAGTCGTGACAGCTGCCCAGACAGACACCACCTCAATTTTACAATAGTATAGATAAGGGGGTTCTATGTAACCTACTGTACCATTTTACGGCCTGCTTAACCGATTTTTACGAGTGAGGTATCATTTTAAAGTTTATTATCTAGCGCACGGTTCGATGGTAATTTAAATGATAATTTCCTTTCACTCTCAAGCCTTTGATTTATTTCTAAAAGGCCCTTTTGAAAGTCCAGAGCTGCTGACCATCTTGCTTTATAAAGTTTATACATTATTTGCAGTTTAACAGGTGCTTATTTTAACCGCAGTCAAACTGTACAATCACAATAGATGAGACCATTAATCATAAAGGGTATTTTAAAACAGGTACTGTTAATGATGAATGTAACCTATGTGAGAAAAATAAAATTATCTTTATGGTATTTAACTGCAATTGGCATATTTTAAATATTGTTAATTAGTAGTTTTATTCATATAACTTACCTTACACGCACATACATTTATGTTGTTTTAACATATTATGTTTAACAATAAAATGATACAATTGCGAGGTGTTGTATAGTATTTTACAAATAGCATGAGTATACAATTTTTAATAGTAAAAGAAAAATAAAAATCATTTACTATTATTCATCATAATTTATATGATACATGACATTTGATATTATATAGTATTTTATAAATCCTACAAAACATGTTATCATTGTACGATTCTATACCTCAACCATTCACAATTTTCACCAAGTAAATATATAATGGGCTATGTTTACTTGAACTATGACGCTATGGAATACAATTTATAGTGTGCATGTTTAATACATGCACTGATTTAGTCAAGGGGTATGCATATAGCTGATTATAAATAGATTATTCACAGGGCTATAGAATACTAAATCTTTAGTCTTGAATAATTCATTATTGATAGTCTCAATAAAAGAAATTTCACCAACAAGCTGTATTTTTTTTTTAGATCTGTGATAATAGTGGTTCAAACCTGTGTAATCTATACAGGGTTAGTAAAAAGTGTGGAGACCCCTAGTTATTTTTTTAACTGCCCATACTAGAAAAACTAAACTAGGCACACCATTATGGCATGTTATGAAGTACTTTTTGGGCATAACCGCCACTTGGTGTTCATCCCCAAAATGGGGGATTTCGGGGGAAACTAAAAATTTTCAAATACAAAGACCCATTGAGTGACCCCTCATTTTGGAGGTCCTGGTAAAAGAAAACCAACAATGCAAAGAACAACAATGCAAAGAAACAATAAAGCAAAATAGTCACCGGTTTGATCCTTAATAGTCAGCAGTTTTTTTGGGGTATACAACTGGACCTAGCTCTCTTTACCTATTGAGCTAGAATTTAATTTAACAAATACCACGATATTAGTCCGTTTATCAGTTGACTTGTTGATCTATTTACTAGTTAATCATGACGGAAATACCTTTTTACAATAAAAAAGGTATTTATTGATATTAAGAAACAATTCTGTTATCCAAAACGACTCTTGTCCGTAATAAAATTGCCTTTTGTTTTAACAAATCTATCAAATTAAAATAAATCTAAAGCTGTAAGACTAAACCTTACTGTAAAAAATGTTATCGAAAGTAGAAAATATTTATCAACTTTAATCCCGCAGCTAATCAACCAACTATCAAAGGTCCTCTCGGATACTGAAGTTCACCCATCTGAGGTTAGTTATTCGTCTGCCACTTTAAAGTATTTAGATGTACGAAGTCCTCAATTAGTTTTACTTTTTTGTTTTCAAAATACACACTAAATGGGGTAGATCAGCTCAAATAATACAATTACAAATTGACAAAAAGTATCAAT